TCCCTTAACTCCTTTAACTCCCTTTACTCCCTTAACTCCCTTAGCTCCCTTTACTCCTTTAACTCCCTTTACTCCCTTAGGTCCCTTAACTCCTTTAACTCCCTTTACTCCCTTTAGTCGCTTTAGCCCTTTAACTCCCGTTACTCCCTTAACTCCCTTTACTTCCTTAACTTCCTAGTCGTTGAAACGCGGAATGCAACGTGGTTTTACATGTGATTTAGTGACTTGTAACACGTGAAGCATGGATTGTGGACGTGTTAATCACATTGGACAAAGCTAACGGAAATAAAAATCGTGAAAATGTGCGCTTTTCTGAATTATAGTTTTATTAAAATTTCAAAGTTTCTGCGTGTACTTGTCGGGCTTTTTTTGAGTTTTGTCTGTCTGGGAAGCAGTTCCTTACATTTTCATACCCGGTTATCTATTGGTTTGGGTTTCTTGAGTTTACAATAATTATTCGATTAATCTTTGAATGAAATAAAAATAAACGCCTATGTGGGAAAAGATGATTTTCGTTGTTTTGTAGAGGGGTGTTTTATGGTAAACGGTCAATAATAAGGAGTGGTTGCGTATTATTTTGATAGATGGACAAATGTGTCAAGCTGTATGTAACTACTTTTATTCGTTTTCTTACTCTGGGGTTTTTTAGTTTTATTGTCGTTCTACATTATAGAAGATACACATTGTTAGGAAGAAGTAGATTATATGCTTCAGTATTGACATGTTCATACAGGACGTACGGGTCTATACCCAGTTATATTTATGCAATATGTCCTGCCTGATACATATATGATAGTGTAGATAAGTGTGACAAGAATGTGTGTGAAAGTGTTTTCGAGTTCTTATACCTATAAATGTTTCTTTTAAGTTGACCGATTTTCTTTTTTTGTATTTTGTTTATTTAATTTATAAAGTAACGGTTTTAAGAGCTGTGTTTTCCTCCAGTTGTTAAACAGAAACTTGTCAGTTTTATTTTTATTTTTTTGTGAACTAATTTAGATTGTTCGTCTTACCTTGCTTAATTTCGTACAATGTCAAAAGATACACAAGACTGGAGTGAAATTTATGAGCGCAACATACAGCAATGTCTTAAAATAATCGATGGATACGATTTCAGCAGTTTAAAGTTACCACCTCACATTGATCAATTTGTTCAAGAATTATCGTGTCACCATAATTGTGATCCCAAGGTCCTTTTTTACACGTTATTATCAGTAATAGGACATTATTGCGAAGCTGTTACAGTGTATAACATTGAAGCGAAGCAATCCAGGCCAATTACGGTCTTCGAAGTTTTGATCGCACCTTCAGGTATATATATATATGTATTCTTCAAGAGAATCTTTTGTGTATTTACTTTTATATTATTTTAGGTGTTGAAAAATCAAAGTATATAAACATCATTTCGAACGCGTGTACAACATTCGAAATGTATTTATATGAGAAATGTTACAAAAAAGAACGCAATTTTGGTGAACCTGTCATCGTGAAGCCTAATGTAGAGGTGAGAAGTTATTGTTATCTCGTTGTTATAAATAACAATAACACTTTTTGTTATTAGTTATTTTTAACAATAACTATAACAAAAAGTGTTATTGTTATTTGTACCAATAACTTTTTGGTTATTGTTATTTATAACAATAACAATAACAATAAATTCTCACCCCTAGCCTTATGTACAAGTTGGAGAGAACAAGAAAAGAAATACAGAATCGTATGAGAAATGGGTCACTGATCATGGGTCAATAAAACAAGTTTATACAACGCCTGCTCTTTTGAATATGATGACGAGTTTAAACTTATACTTTCTTGCAAATGAAGGTGATGGAATGCTTCAAGAGTGCTCCTTTTGGAACCCAGCGGACACAACCGCTGATATGAAGCAAGGAGCCCTTATTGATTGTAAGTGACCATGTGTATTGTTTTATATGATTTCATCAAGCTGCTTTTCGTATATCTGAATTTTTGCTCTCTAATACTTAGCGCATACCAAAAGTCTTTACGGAGCTACATCATTTTCTTATAATATGCTTGGAGAAATTTTCTTTTTACACGAACAGACAAAAGCAATAAAATAAACTGTTCTTATAAATCGTAATTAGAACCTTTCTCACACTGAATCTTCTGGTATATTCTGTTTATTAATACAACTTACAAGATGAATTGGAAATTGAAATGCGAAGTATAGCCATTAATAAGTCTCATTCGTCAATTAAGTTTACCTAAAAATAATATTCCTCATAACATTATTATTACAATATTAGATAAATAATATTTAAATAGTGTCGAAATTGAGAGCTTTGTCTTTACTGTGTGTTCGTATAAAGAGAAAATTTCTTCAAGCATACTATAAGAAAGTGATGTAGCTCCGTAAAGACTTTTGGTATGCTCTGAGTAGGCTGGGATAGTAACAAAATTATCAAAAGTACTGTTACTCACGGCAGTAAAATTATTAAAGATCGTACTATGTCGATGTGTATCGCCAGTACAGGGCGTCGATGGCCGGAAATGTTAAAAGAATTATCGTACGTAGATATTTTTTATGTGGTCTTTAAAACTTATGTATTTATTTTCATCCTGTCTGTACTATCGTAGTAGAATACAACGTGCAGGTGGTTTGCACGAAAGATGTACATTTTTTTGCTTCGACGTATTTGGAGATGCTCACAATGATTGTATGACTTTAACAACTGAAAAACAATATTACAATAATTTGTATGATGAATTATTATGTACAGCCACACAAAATGACCATTTAAAGCATTCGTTAGTTCAAGTTTTATGTATCATTAAATTGTTCGATTATAGAACATTAGTATGGTCCCGTGAATCATTCTTGTTTATTCAACCACGATTAAACGAATTAAAACTAAATAAGAAATGTTCTTTATTAGAAAACCCATATTTATTCCGGAGTAAACAACAAATGGCAGTCCGTCGACGTGGAGCAGAACATACAGTTCGATATGCATGTCTTATCCAAATGTTTAAAAACGCATTGTATGTATTGAGTATAATGGACGAAAAAGTAGTAAAATCTGGTAATATTAGTGAAGAGTTTGAGCTAGAAGCTAAAACAATAGTAAGAATAGTTGACTAGAAATAAAATACAACTGTATTTTGTTTATTTTTTCCTACTTTTTTCAGATAATAAATACGTTTGGCTCAGTCTTGGAACGTCAAAACTCCTTTCATAAGAACGGCGTTCCTATTCAACCATTAGAAGTTGATATAGAATCAGCAACGTCTGCAGTTGCCTTAGTTTTTTCCTTGCTCTTACCACAATGTGCAATTTTGTTCAACTATGGAACCGATCATGATGATAAATCATATGAACAGATAGTTATCGATGAGGAGAAGATGAAAATGACAAAACATCAAGAACTTACGATAAGAATAGAAAAATTCATTATAAATCTGAATTACTGTTTTTTTCACAAAACGTGTATCACAAGTAGTCATTTCTGCGATAGGCGTGAAATGGTGAACGATGTACTTAATGATCTAGTTACACGTGATTTATTATACTGTGGTGATGGTGAAAGAATATTCTTTGAAACGAAACGTTCATCAATGGTGAAAACTTATTTAAAATTTATACCAACTACTGAGGATGAACCACGATTTCGCGACAGTCTTTTAGAGTTATATAATATACAATATGAAGATTATATAAAACAATTTGATCAAGCTTCATTATTACCAGCAAAAAGCTCTTTAACACCTTTTGGCCGTGATTATATTCGGAAACCACAATACGCACCTATCATGAATAAAAAATGTATTTTATTTTGATATTTTTTTTCGTAAATGATGTTTTATACCATAATAGATTGTTTTGTAACACCAGACAAGCAATTGAATACATCAAATGATGAGACTGATGTTGCTCGTGAAGAAACACAATTAAATCGACAAGGTAATATTCTCTTTTTTTTTATAAAATAACAGAAATTCAATTTTCAATGAGTCATGGATGTGTTTCAGATAATGACTTACGTTCTTTACCATTAGTAGATGTCAATCATCATGATCAGCATGAACTTTTAACATGTAATGCCGATAAAACAATACAACATTCATCAATTCTTGGCGCCAATCAATGTATTCAAACTACAAAAGCAACGGATCATATCTTGACAATCCAAGAAAATGTCGTAAAAGATATTAATGATATACAAAACCGAAATTTATTGTTGTCGTCAGCGGTCGGTACGTTTCGATTGATTATTGCAAAGATTTTCTCAGTTTTCGCTAACTGTTGTATTGAATTTCCCTTTTCACAGCTATACCGAGAATAAGCACGACTCCTAAAACTTGTGCTATTGCAACCGAACAAGATGAAAACTCAGTTCTCTTGAAAAAAGATGGTATGATTGCATTTACTAAAACTTCTGTATTGAAATAGATTCTGCTTTTATTGTGTAGAATTTTATGCTCTTCAAAATCAACCAACAGTATCAGATGATTGTGATCAAACAACCCTTGAAAATGTTGATCTGAATACTTGGCATGATCGTCCATTGAATGTTACTACACCAGAGGATGTAAATAATGACCACGATGATATACTAACAAAAAATTCAGAACTAGATGGTATTACAGATGATCTAAGTAATTGAGAATTTTATGATTATTAAAAAATAAAATAGCGAAAATTTTCTTGCGTTCAAATTAGAACAATCTAGTAGTGAAGCAGCAGGACAACTGGATAAAATTCTGGAAGCAACTCAAAATGATCAAGGTTAGATATAAATATATGAAATACATTGTATTTTTTAAGTCAATTTCTTTTTATTAGAGAAAATAGTAGGTAAAACAATGGATATAAATAAGAAAATACTTGCTGGAAAAGCTTTACTAATTCCATCCATTGTACTAACAAAAGGATTGATTGGATTACACATAAGAGCACCAGCAAAAGATATCAATGATGCATTAGAGTATCTTGTAGCCGAAGAATTATTGAAAAAAGACAAGTATCTTCAAGCCAGAAACCATCCAATTGAATCATATTTGAAATGTCTTCCGAAAGATTTTGATAACATATCAAATAAATATTTATTACAACGAAAATTATCAGAACCTCAAGTGACTGTTGATAAATATCTTGATTCATTGAAAACAATAAAATATGCAACACTAGTACAATGCCCAACGAGTATATTGATTAATGTGTTACAAACACCACCTTATGATCAGTTTCAGATTGATCTTTCAAGCAAACGTAAAGGTATGTATATGTTCCAGTACGCATCTTGTAGTACAATTTGCTATTTTATGTTTTACATTTATGTAAATGGACAGAATCCGATGAAGATACAAATAATGAATCTTTTATAAATGAAGAAAAACGAAAAAAAATGAAAACGAGTGGTGAAAATAAATGACAACGGCATTCATGTTATTGGCCATTACATTGAAAGTCGACACATCATTCAAAAACTGGTGTTTTCTATTTTTTTCTTATTTTTATTTTCCTTTTCGAGCCATTTCTTATATTCATTTCTTTTATTCCGATTAGATAAAAAACATTTTGATATATTGATTTGTATCGTTTATAGATAGAACAACGTGTTATATAGTTACTGCTTATGGCTGATATTAATTACCTTCAGTTAGTTTTGAGTGACTTCAGTTTGAAACAATTATTTTACATAAATTGGTTTAACAACAATCTTGATGTTGGTGTAGCAAATCGTAATACAATAATCATAGATTTATTACGTGAATGCACAGGTGAAAAATTAGAACAGTGGACGCCAATAACAATCGAACAATCGTTAATGGCAATCAATGCATTAGGTTTTCTCAATCGGGTTGAAGAAAAACTCTTAGATACAAAGTTAAATACTTATTTAACATCCAAAGGTTGTTCAAATATGATAGTCGAACCATATATTAGAAAATGTTGTGATACGAAATTAAAAATGATCATTGGACGAAAAATAATAATATTCAAAATAGATGGTTCATATACCGGTACATTAACATATGGTAATTGTCTAAAATGTATGAAACAATATTCACATAATTATTTTATGTATCAAGACAAAAAATACGTTACGTACGATTCAGTCTTCAGCAGTAACTTAGTCTATTTGGGTGGTAATTACGGTTATGATAAAAAATTTATCAGGTGGTTGTCAAATTCTATTTTATATTTGTATAGTGGTTTTGAGAATTTTGCTAAATGTTATAATGCAACAAACAATCAAATTTCTAAAACTGTCGATACCGCTAATATCAATCTATGCCCAACTCGAATACAAGATTTTTGGTTTTTGTACAACTTTATAAATATATCATTCTTTTATACCGAATCAACAATATTGCAAGTTCCAAGTAACTGGTAATATAACAGCTTTGAATTAACATATCATTTTAGTATATCTGTGTCTTACTGTTGCTTTAGCGATCGACAAAAATTAGTCGAATTTATGAATACTAATTATGACAGATTAAACAAACATTTTGTAAACTATTGGGCTTTACACAAAGAACATCATAGTTGCGGAACAACATGTTCAATGGCATTTGTAACAGACGGATTTCAAAAATCCAGTCGCTTTATATGCGGTAATATTAAAATGGTTGTTCGCAATAAAGAACTAGGTAAATCGAAAAAATATCTTATGTACTTAACCTTCCGTTACCGTCATGAAATCCACTGAAATGTGTAGCTTCTCAAAACAGATACATTTTAATTAAAGATCATAGCTATTTAAAATGTGGCGCCTTTTTAACAGCAACGTAATTATTTGATTCAAGTAGCTATTTCACGATATATATACAAATATCAAATTATCTAAATAGCTAATTCATTTTTATAGAATTCCACACTCTCCTTTCTATTGAGTAAATGCCTATATTGAATCTTTAAATATTTTTATGCGTATACCTGATGTATATACTTGTAGTCAAGAAATATTTATATAGTTATGAGTATATTTATTTAAATGAGTAGCAAATTTTTTAATAGCTGAATAGCTTTTTAATAAGCAAATTAACTATTGTTAAAAAGCGTTGTTATTCAACTGTTAAAATTTTGGATTTTGTTTCTTTTTTTTCTCAGAATCCTGTTCGTAGGCATTTAGTAACTTAAGTTTAACAGACCAGTAATATTTAAGTAACTATAAGATTTTAAATTGATGAAATTTGTTTGAGTAGAATGAGAACAATTCAAAGACATTAAATGGTGTTTCAAAGAGAGTTTTTATTTAGTCTAATAATAGCATTAGAAGAAATTAAACAAATATAAAAGCATTTAATCTTATCGATATATTTATAATATACAACTCAATCTTAATTTAGCGCATCCTTCACATCAAATAACTAATACTAAAAGATTTATCTTTTTTTTTGATTTTTTTCTCAACATTTCTATTAGAATAATTCGCTAACCTGAAACACATTCCTAATATTTACTTCTATAATCACATATATTTATCTATTTTTAATTCAAATCTATTCAATACTATTCGGGAATAAATAGCTAACAAATCCTTAAATAGTGCTAGCCATTTAATATCTCGAGAAGAAAATAAAGTCATAGTAAATAAATAGCTAATAAAATATTTAAATAGTACAGGCGAAGCATTAAATAGTGCTAGAGTTTAAAAAGCCTAAGACCAGATCGTTCATAAAGGTATACAGCTAAATAAGAGTCTAACATATATTTTTCTTAGCTATTTTTCAGAGATTGCTTATATGACAAAAATTGTATCTCTTTTGAGAATGAGCCATAAAATGAGGAAGGTAACAGAGGGTTAACTGTTTAATTCTCAATGAGCAAGTAAATTTTTTTAAGGATATGTACAAGTTGGGTGTGGTAATCGCCCAGAATATGAAGCAAAACATAAAAGAAAACAGGATAATCAATGTAAATCAATAACAACATCAACAAATGGTTCAAATGACGATACAACAGATGCTTTATGTCGAAGCTGTAAACTAAATCCGATATCACATGATGTTGAAGAAGAAATAATTACCAACAATGAATGCAATATTAATCGAAATCCACGCTTTGTAAATGGGAAAGTTAGATCTTATGGCGTGATATACACGATGTATAACTGTGGAATTGTTGTGGATTTTCTTGAGATTAACTTGTCTGAGCAAGTATTTATCACTTTGTTGCATTGGTTCAGTATGTTAGATAAAATCAGTGATTTAACAAAAACACCGACGATTTTCATCTACGATAATGCGTGTAGCGTATGGTTATATTTCAAAACACGATTTCATACCACCAAAACGTTAGTTCTAACACAATCAGCACAGTACCTTGATTCATGTGAGATGTTTATTGACCGTCTTCATCAAAAAACACACACTCGTCCCATGTGTCGTACAGAAAGGAATATTGATTTGAAACCACATTTAGATGATGTGAATACAATGGTTTGTGAACAGAATAATTCATGGCTCAAGCAGTTCATCAATATATTGTGCAATTTATCAGGGCAACGTTCCAAATTTTATTATTTGTTTCTATTTCATTTGCTAAATTGCAGACGTTGCTCATTCAATCCAGAAAAAAAACCACACCTTTTGTGATTTAATAATAATTCTATTCTTTCACATTTTATCTTTCGTTGTTTCTAACCAATTTATATTATACATTGTTAGGGATATCTTCGCATAGTTTCACTTATTGTTCGTCTTCTTTTTTTATGGGTTGAATATATTTCTTTCTTTCTTTCTGATCACATATATTTCTTTCTATCTGATCATATATATTTCTTTCGTTCTTTCTTTCTTTCTGATCATATATATTTCGATCACATATCTTCTTATTCTTCTTATGTTTAAACCCTGGAATCGTTCGGCCACGTATATATGTTCCTCCTCTTCTATATGATCGGTCTGATATAGTGTGTGTAATTATCACCATCAAATAGAAACCGTTAGCAGACATTCTTTTCGAAAATACCCTTACAAGTTCAGTTAAACAACGAAAGATATTCACAGGTATTCAAGAAGTTCTATAATTATAGATAAAGGAAAAGCAAGTAAATGAACTGTGAAAAGCTTAAGGCCCCCTCCCCCCCCCCCGGGACAAAAAAAATTCCCATAAAAAATACCAATTTTGGGATTCATCCATATTCAGATAGCTTATCATCTACGCTTTCGAATGGACTATAATTTATTGGTTTTCTGATGGTTTTTGAGGGTTTTACAATGAGTTTTCTGAAAACCCTTTCTGAAATTTTTTTTTAAAACTTTAATTATTGATGATATTTGAATTTTTTCCTATACTACTTATTAAACAAAAAAAACTAATTCTCAAAGTAAAAACTTGTTTTGCGTTTTTCTCAAAACTATTTTTTTATATTTTATCTGTTAGTATTTTCTAGATTTCTCCACTATTTTGAATGACAGAAAGCTCGGGAAGGTTTTAAATTAAAGCTAAAGCTCAGCACTAGAGCATAGCAAAAGCCGTAGTTTTTGTTTTCCGTTTAGTTCTTGATGAAAAAATCGAGTTTTGTAAAGAGTTAACCTCAAGTTTTTCCAAAAACCTTTTTTGTTATTCAAAAAACCGGCTTTGCTAAGCTTTAGAGCTGCGCTTTAGCTTCATTTTAAAACCGTCCGAAGTTTTCTATCATTCAAAACGGTGGAGAAATCCTGGAGCTACGACGGCCTACTTTTTATCCTTGATATCAGGATAACTCGAGCAAAACTCAATATTACGAACTCAATTTTTGACTGAAGACTATCCAAGGTTAGATACATATTCAGTAAAAATTTCACTAAGAGTGAGTGCTCTGGAAAAAAAATTTTGATTCGGGGGGCCCTTAAGGAATAAAGGAAATGAATGGTCAGGGGCGTTTAAAATTGTTAAAACGACGAAGGGAGCTAAAGGAGTAAAGGGAGTAAAGGGAGTAAAGGGAGTAAAGGGAGTTAAAGGAGTAAAAGGAGTTAAAGGAGTAAATGGAGTAAAGGGAGTAGAGGGTGTAAAGGGAGTAAAGGGAGTAAAGGGAGTAAAAGGGTGTGGGTGTAAAGGGAGTAA